AGTAAACAGCCATCAGTGTGCTAATGATCCATTGTTAGGCTGATGGTCCTTCTTGAGCATGTGATCAGCTGGTTCTGGTTGTCAGCAGCAAACTGGTTGATCCACTCTGAGAAGGTGCTATTTAAGAGACTGAGCTGAATACAGCTCCTCAGACTGAGGAAGTCTCTTGGATGAGAGACGAAACGTTTCTACATTTTTTTGTTGATTTGCTTTGTTTTGTTTATTTTGAATGTCCAGAGGACCAGATTTAACTTTTTTGGAGTTCCAAGAAGTGTTGACTTTTAAAGGATATCCACTTCCTGTCACTTGGTACTTCCTGATTGGTTGAAACAACCAGCAGGGGTGTAGTTTTAGTGATGTCAGAGGGTTATTAGGAGTCAGCAGACAGCAGAAATGTTTTAAGAACGATTAGTACAGACAGAGAAATATTTTGAAGAAATGAGAGACAGCAGGTGCCAGCCAGTTCTTATTTACTGTCTGAGAGTTTTAAAAACAAGGCACTTCATTCTCATAACTTGTCTCTGACTTTCGACTGACATCAGGTCCACCCCCCACACAGACAGAAGATTGAATGCACACTTACTTCGTAAATAGACATTTAACTTGTATGATCTAAGTCTAATGAGGTTTAAAAATCATTAATACTGTTTCACAGTTGATTTAAATGAGTGGTTCACTTCAACATTAGAAATGGTATGAACTAAACACACTTTTGATTATCAAGATATTGTAAAATAGTGATGATAATATAAAAAAAGAAGAGTGTTCTTTCAATTGATTAATTCAGGATACGATTAAATAGTCTCTTGATGAGATAATTTGTATTTCTGGATTAAAATCAATGAAATAACAGTTCCTGTCCCCAGAAGGTCTTCAGAGACAGATTGATGTCGGAGGTCTAGTTCACCACACTAATTAATAATCCAACTGAAAAAAAGAAGCTACACCTCTGCCTGTGTCTGGAATGGATTCTCTTTCTCCGCAGCAGACCGGGTTTTCCCCAAAATGCACTCCAGTTCTCCACAAATCCTACATTGTTTTCAGAACACCACCTGGACGCCCAGCGGTCGAAAGCCGACATACGGCTAAACATGTCATCGCTGGTCAACCTGGGGAGGGGGCCTGAGAAAACTACGGAGTCAGACATAGTTTTTGCAAAGATACACACCAAAGCAACATTAATTTTAGTGATCTCTGATTTGCGTAGTCGAGTGTCATTTTCACCAACGTGAATAATGATTTTACTGTATTTCGCGTTAGCTTTAGCCAGTAGTTTCAGGTGGGATTCATTGTCTCCCGCTCTGGCCCCTGGAATGCATTTGACTGTGGTTTGAGTCACAGGTGCCACATTTCTGACTATGGAGCTCCTAATAACGGTGGGTGTCTCACTAAGCACAGAAAACTGATTTGAAAGTTGAACAGTGGTTGACCGAGGGCTTTGTTTTATTTTATTTTTTCCCTTTTGACCATCACCCAGCAGTCCTGAGGTTCAGGGCATCTAAGTGGAGGAAACTGATTTGAAATGTGATTTAAAGCAGAAAAAAATCTTTTGAAACATCATTTGAAACGTGAACCGGTCGATGGTGGACCGGAGACTTAGTTTTAGCATTTTGTTTACCTCGAGCCGTCACCCAGCCAACCTGCAGTTTCTGACTGCTAACGTGAGCTAGCATTAGTGGTTCTGCGCAGCCTATGGGCGCCTCGCAAGTTAATGGCTTTTCAAAAGCACAGAGTCGAGCTTCCAGATCAGACAGCCTCTCCACCAGAACCGACATAACAGAACATTTGTTACATGTCCCATTATCTTCAAACGAAGTAGTGTTATAGGTAAACATCTGGTACACAATGCATGCGATGAAACCCTAAGCCATGTTAAGCTACAGATAGTAAGAGCTAGCAGATCTCAATACACTGATAAAAACCAGAAGTCCTGAAAGATTAAGACCACGGTGGAATAAGTTTAAAGTTAGGGTGATCAAGTGATGTGGATAAGTGTCCTTGGGTGTCCTGAAAGGCGCTTCTTAATAAAATTATTATTATATTGTTGTTATCCGATGCAGGCAGTCTCTCAGCGGTTGTATTGTCTCAGCTGTAGGGTGTGTTGAAGTTAGCCACTCGCTAGCCCCACCACTATGTAGCACGATGAGACTGACTCCCTTCGCTCTCAAAACAAATAGAATACAGCAAAAATCAACAAGGGGTAGGTAGAAACAATAAGTAAATTAAACACTGTTTAAAACCACTGGCCTGATCTCAGCTTAATGTGAGTTTAATCAGAGTTGATCCGAACCAATCTGATTTGCTTAGCTTAGCACACCATTGCAGAACCTCGCAACAGCAAGTCACGAAACTTACCTAAAAGAATAAAGCACAAAACAAGAACCAGCAAGGAAGCACTACAACAAAGTCAATAAACAGAGAAGCATTGTTTGAAACTAGGGCAACTCGCCGGTTTTCTGATCTTTATCTCAGCTTTGTGGGAGTTGAATCCACTTAGTACAGTTAGCACAACACTGCCGGATCACGTAACTTAAAGAACACCCACAATAAAGTGTAAAACCAACAAACGACCAATGAAACTAGCAAACAGTTTAAAAAATACACAGTGAGAGAGAGAGAAAGAAAAAAACTGTTTATAGTAAGTAAGCAAGTGTAAGTGGTTAAAGTTGTTAAATACTCTCCGAGTAGAGTAAAACGTATTTATTATAATCGACATCTCCCAAGCAAGCCGGAACCGGAACTCTTTTGATCTTGTCTCTGCACAGAATGGCTCCAGTCCTCCATATTTTCTGGTGGCCTTCAGACCAGTCAGATCCACTACAACTACAATGAGGAGAAGGATGAAGACCACTGCAGCTCCCTGGGTACAACCACTCCTGAAAAGGCCAAACTTTACTCCCACAGGATAACCCTAAGCGACCACGCTCAGCCTTTCCTGCAGGCCGTTGCCGACAACACCACTCAGGACCACACTGTGAAGGTACAAGCAAAACCAAATTTCCTGAACAGGCCATGACATGAGGCAGAATGGTAATCTTTTAATATTTTGTTTTTTTGTTGTGGTGTTCTAGGACTTTTTATGCCAAATAGAACGAAGCTGTAAGCAGTATCATCTTATTACACCCATCACCTTTCCACCGGAGCATCCTGTTGAAGAAGTTGGCCGCCTGCTGCTCTGCTGCCTGCTCAAACATCAAGACTTGGGTAACGAAGCAGCTGGACTCAAAATGTTTTCACCAAAAAAGATTTATAAAAAAAAAATTCTAACTTAACCAAGAAAATTGTGTTCATTTTTTGTGTTCATCCTAAAATACAAAGACCATTAAATGTAAGTTTGTACTGGCTTTGAACATATTTTTAAAAAGCTGACTGTTGTCACAGGTCACGTTGCCCTTTCACTTGTCAGTCAGTGTGCCTTGGGCGTGGACCAAGGAAAACAAAGGTCCCTTCCTAAATCTGTGATTGACGTATGCCGCATGGTCTATCAGGCTAAATGTTCTCTAATCAAGGTAGGAGTTCCACGTTTTACATCTGCACAAAAACAGCAATTTAAAGAAACCCTTCACTCAACTAACTCAATAGGAAATAGAAAGTTGATGTCTGGCATAAAAGCCAAGAATGAAATTGTTAAATGTGAATAAACTGTTTGCCCTTTAGACTCATCAGGAACAAGGACGCTCCTATAAAGAAGTGTGTGCCCCCGTTATCGAGCGCCTACGTTTTTTGTTTCATGAGTTGCGTCCAGCTGTGAGCAACGACCTGTCAATTGTGTCCAAACTGAAGCTGCTGAGCTCTCAACCTCGATGGAGAAGGATCACACAGAAACTTATCCGGGATCGAAGGAAAAAAAGAGGTGAAATACTTTCTACCTGCTTCACCACGAAGGATTGTTATTTTTATACATATGTATCGTTAAAATTAAATATATTTACTTTTTAGTGCCAAAGAAGTCAGAATCTGCTGATATTGAAGAGCCAAAGCTGGAGAATGAGGGGACCAATGAAGAAGAGCATAATGTTCACATCAGCCCCACTCCTGCAGACAGGAAATCACCCACTGGGAAGACATCCAAGGTACTTGGCCTTGGTCATTGATGAATTAAAAGAAACAAAACAACAAGGTTTATAAAACATGACAGAGCTACCCTTTCAATCACACTTTTCATTGTCTTATTTTCTGAGAACATCTTTTTTTATTTTCCTCAGTTTCTAAATTAATGTTTCTACATTGTGCCTGTAATTGATATATTTGTCTAATTATGCTTTTTTGCAGCAGGACAAGTGGCAGCCTCTTTTAAACACAGTAGCAAATGTCCAGAGATACCGGTGGTTGAAACACAGTGTTCCTGGGGCTTTTTCTAAGTGCAGCCTCATGGGTACCATAGTAGAATTTGCACTTAAAGAGGAACCGCTTGATGTGGAAAAGATGAGGAAGTGTCTTCTTAAGCAGGTGAGTCCCAGGTTATGCAGTTTAACACAGGAGAAAATGCATTTTTTATTTGAAGATTTAAGTGATTTAATTTAACCAGGATTGCCTGTAAAAGTAATGGCATTCTGCATTGTTTCCATGTTTAGGTATTTTTCAGCAAAAGTGCTCAGCAAGTGAGGGTGTCGGGTTTACTGCTAATGCATTAGACCGCACCGATTCTACACAGAAGTATCTAAGTATAAGAAGTATCTGCCCTAATACTAAAAACATTTCACAGGCACATACAGTGTATCACAAAAGTGAGTACACCCCTCACATTCCTGCAGATATTTAAGTATATCTTTTCATGGGACAACACTGACAAAATGGCACTTTGACACAATGAAAAGTGTGTCTGTGTGCAGCTTATATAGCAGTGTAAATTTATTCTTCCCTCAAAATAATGCAATATACAGCCATTAATGTCTAAATCACCAGCAACAAAAGTGAGTACACCCCTTAGAGACTACACCCCTAAATGTCCAAATTAAGCGCTGCTTGTCATTTTCCCTCCAAAATGTCATGTGACTTGTTAGTGTTACTAGGTCTCAGGTGTGCATAGGGAGCAGGTGTATTCAGTTTTGTAGTACAGTTCTCACACTCTCTCTTACTGGTCACTGAAAGTTCCAACATGGCACCTCATGGCAAAGCATTCTGAGGATCTTAAAAGCCGAACTGTTGCGCTACATGAAGATGGCCAAGGCTACAAGAGGACTGCCAACACCCTGAAACTGAGCTGCAGCACAGTGGCCAAGATCATCCAGCACTTTAAAAGAGCAGGGTCCACTCAGAACAGACCTCGCGTTGGTCGTCCAGAGAAGCTGAGTGCACGTGCTCAGCGTCACATCCAAATGCTGTCTTTGAAAGACAGGTGCAGAAGTGCTGTCAGCATTACTGCAGAGATTTAAGAGGTGGGGGTCAGCCTGTCAGTGCTCAGACCATACGCCACACACTACATCAAACTGGTCTGCATGGCCGTCATCCCAGAAGGAAGCCTCTTCTGAAGTCTGTACACAAGAAAGTCCACAAACAGTTTGCTGAAGACATGTCAACAAAGGACATGGATTACTGGAACCATGTCCTATGGTCTGATGAGACGAAGATTAATTTGTTTGGTTCAGATGGTCTCAAGCATGTGTGGCAGCAATCAGGTGAGGAGTACAAAGATAAGTGTGTGATGCCTACAGTCAAGCATGATGGTGGGAATGCCATGGTCTGGGGCTGCATGAGTGCAGCAGGTTGTGGGGAGTTACATTTCATTGAGGGACACATGAACTCCAATATGTACTGTGAAATACTGAAGCAGAGCATGATCCCCTCCCTCTGGAAACTGGGTCACAGGGCAGTGTTCCAGCATGATAATGACCCAAACACACCTCTAAGATGACCACTGCTTTACTGAAGAGGCTGAGAGTAAAGGTGATGGACTGGCCAAGCATGTCTCCAGACCTAAACACAATAGAACATCTTTGGGGCATCCTCAAGCGGAAGGTGGAGGAGCACAAAATCTCGAATATCCGCCAGCTACGTGATGTCGTCATGGAGGAGTGGAAAAGCATTCCAGTGGCAACCAGTGAAGCTCTGGTAAACTCCATGCCCAGGAGAGTTCAGGCAGTTCTGGTAAATAATGGTGGCCACACAAAATATTGGCACTTCAGGACCTTTCACTAAAATACAAATACAAATACAAAAGTACTTTATTAATTCCAGAGGGAACTTATTTGTTCTTGTAACTCGTTATCCTCATTTCATTAAGAGATGTTATAGATGCTGTAGACAGGAAGGATCTCTTGTAAAGGTTCATTCCACCGTGGATCCTAAGAAACTGGCTGCAGATGCCATTTGAGCCGTCCACCCAGACTTGGCTGGCCTCTCTGTTCCCCCAGGCTGTAGGAACGCCCGAATGCCGGGCAGAACTCCTCCCAGAGCGATGGCCACTCCTCACAGCAGTCTGCTGAGCTCCTCATCGCTGCGGACAGCCAACTGTAGGTGCAGAGGGACGATCCTGTCCTTCCGCTGTCATGAGCCATGTTTCCTGTTAGTTCCAGGATCTCAGTGGTCAGGCACTCGAGCTCAGCTGGCAGGTAGATGAGAATGCATCCACATACCATCCTTTCAACTCATTTGAGATTTGGGGCTGTAGTTGAGATATTATTTGAGCTTTTGAGATGTTAATCAGCTGCTGTTGGTTGTAGAAAACTGCCTTGTGGCCATGGTTACGCATCATAACAAATGTCCAAAACTAAAAAAGTTTCAGTAAAAATCCTTCCAGCTGCACAGCATCCGATACCAGAGGAAATAATCATCCAAAAAATGTGACACATACAGAAAAAGAGGAATTAATGTTTCCAAAAGCAAAATCTCAGAATGAAAGTAACAGAGCTGCTCCAACATGCAGCCACCTTGAGCGGTGCAATTCTAGAACTTAAGGGGTGTACTCACTTTTGTTGCTGGTGGTTAGACATTAATGGCTGTATATTGCGTTATTTTGAGGGAAGAATAAATTTACACTGTTATATAAGCTGCATACAGACTACATTTCATTGTGTCAAAGTGTCATTTTGTCAGTATTGTCCCATGAAAAGATATACTTAAATATCTGCAGGAATGTGAGGGGTGTACTCACTTTTGTGATACACTGTATATACACAAGAGATTTATTATTGTCTTGTGACCGTGTAATTGAGGGCGGCTTCGGCTGAGTGGTAGAGAAGTCGTCCTCCAATTCAAGAGTTGGGGGTTCGAATCCACCAACAGTCACATGCCGAAGTGTCCCTGGGCAAGACCTCATTTCCTCCGATGCAGGTCCAATTAGTGTATGAATGTGATCTAAAAGCACTGATTAGTCTCTTTTGAATGATTTGTTAAATTAGCTTTGTAGAGATCTAGTAGAGAGCTGTATGAATGGGTAAATGAGGACACAGATTTGTAGTTTAAAGCACTTTGAGTGTCTTGATAAGATAGAAAGGTGCTATATAAATACAGTCCATTTACCATTGCATTAAAATGATAGCTGGCAGTTTCCAGAATTTGTTAGGCAGCGAGTGAATGTACAGTCCTTGATTTGATGTTAGAAGGAGAACAAATGGGTCACTGTAAGATTCAAAGATGGCTCCTGTGTACATAGCTTGCAATCCACCTCTGCTGACGGTGTTAGTATTATTTATGTTTTATTCATTTCTCATCTGTGACCTCAACTCTCTGCTGGTGTATGAACGACAACAACTTTTGGATTTTCGACTTTGTGCCACCATTGTCGCTTATTTTGATCAATATGAGCGTAACTCTGGACCCCCTCCCACTGCTGCTGGCGGACATGCCTGTTTACCTGCAGTGTGCTGCACACCTGCCTCCCCGGATACATAGCTCCAGACGCCGGGGAATACGTGCTGGCCGGCTGGTAAAGCTTAAAGCCCTACTTGCTGCCTCTATATCATCCTCTCCAGCTGATGGTCAGCATTTCCATCTCCGAACCTGGCGCTGTACAGATCCTGTTGCACGCTGTTTGGTCCTGTTGGCAGGGCCTGATCATCACACTGGGCCCGTGCGCGGCTGTGTTTCCTGCCTGAGGCGCGGGTCAAACTGCAAATCTGAGGCCACTGGACTGGACACTGTAATCATCTCCTCCTGTGGTGGATTCTATGAGGATGGCCCTGATAAATGCCAGATTGCTGGCTAATACAACTTTTATTTTGAATGACTTTTTCTGTCGCCACTGGCTGGACTTTCATTTCATCACTGAGACTTGGATCTGCCCTGGTGAGTTCAGTGTTTTTCTGGAATTATTGCTTCCGGATTGTTCTTTTTTCAATGCTCCAAGGACAACTGGTTGTGGTGGAGGATTACTGACAATTTTTAAGAAACATTTGCACTGCAAACAGCTCCATGATGCAACTAATTATTCGAGTTTTGCACTGCTCTGTTGTGAGCTGGGCCGCTCCAACCTGGTTTTGTGTGCCATTTGTTACAGACCCCCCTGGATACCACAAACAGTTTTTAAATGAACTTTCTGACTTTCTAACTGGTATTCTGCTCCAATATGACCGTGTTTTAATTGTGGGGGATTTCAATATTCATGTCTGATGCCCTGATAAACCATTATCTCAGGACTTTCTAGTCCTCGTCCAGTCCTTTAACTTTGTACAGAGTGTTGTTGGTCCAACTCATCAGCAGGACCACAATCTGGATTTAGCTCTAACACATGGCTTATCTGTTTGTGATTTAGAAATTGGTGACTGTTTTTTCCGACCACAAACCAGTTTTATTCAACGCATCTTTAGTCTTTGAGCCTACACCTCCCCCTCCACCCAGGCCCTGTATGATATTCAACCTTCCATCGCCCCACGCTTCTCTTTCATTTTTGCCACTAATTCTGTTATAGACTCTCGACTCTGTGGGTTTTACTACAAATTAGTTAGTATCTCTGCATCAGGAGGCCTGTGTACAAATCTTGGACTCAGTCACCCCGTTAAAGATCAGGAAATGAAAACGCACGCCCCACCCTTGGGTGAATGAGGTCACACAAGAAGCAAGATGCCTGTGCAGGAGAGCTGAGCATAGATGGAAGAAAAATAAACTCCAGGTTTCTTTTGATATGTTAAAATCAAGTTGGAAAGTGTATCAGACCACGGTTAAACAAGAGTAGGACAAATATTTCTCCAAAATTATTAACTTAAACAGTCACAACCCCCGAGTTCTTTTTAACACCATTAACACCATTCTAAATGTGCCTTAGTCTGCCAGCATTGAGGCCTCTGTTGACACCTGTAATAAGTTTGTCAGGCATTTTGTTGACAAGGTTGAGTTGATTAAGTCATTGATTCCATACTCCACAACTCACTTCACCACTCGCTCCCCACGAGATCGGATGCTTCTCTCCCTCCCTCCCTCTCTGCTTTGCTTTGCTGCTCTGTCTGTCTGTGAAAATGCTGTGAGACTCTCTTACATTTCTTCCGAACCATAATTATGGACTTGTTTTAACC